TCAATTTATTTGGTACAGGGTTACAAGTGTATAAAGAACTTATTATAATAACTGTTTTTTTTTTATTGTCTAGCTTGTTACCCATTAAAGGGCAGTGGTCATTGCACCAGACATGAGCGAAATATGGGTCTCACATGGACAAAGAAGATTTGACTGTTGCATAGACCATAGTACAAATTGAGACGTTACCAAATTTTAACTGGGTAATTTCTTTGTTGATTGGAAGGAATACAAGACTCATCAGTAATAATTAGTTCATGTCGCGCCCAGATCAAAGCTCCTACTTGTGATTTCAATTAGAAGAGTGCATTGGATTATGGGAGAATCAATGAACAAAAATGTTACACATGCACAGCGTGAAAACCACCGTTCTTTAATAATTTCATGTTCAAGCCCATAGCTCCATGAATTAGATAATCTTAACACATATGGAAGCATTTGTCTGACAAATAACAGTTAAGATAAGTAACAAAAGTATATTACCTTCAGCTCCTTGGTGAGATGGTAGGTAACCAACGTTGTCAAGGAAGAAAAGAAAGGTGCCAGGAACACACACACATTACGAATCTCAATTGTAATGTTTAAGAAATGCAAAATATGATAAAATGCTGCAGAGGTCACCATCAAACCTACAAACAAATCAGAATGCAAGGAGTGGGTACTATATAGCTCAGAAAGTTTCTCTGTATTGGGTAGGTTATAGAAATGACAAACCATCAGTTCACTGCACAACTATATTCTAAGAACCACTCTAAATTCCACTCAAGTTTGGCTGCAATTTCAGTCGATGATAAACTCTGAATTCTTGGTAGTGTTGAATACCTGGATAAATGGTGCCTCCAATAATTCTGCCAAGTGGATACCATGCTCTATCATCAAACCAATTATGGAATTTATAAAATCCTTCTTCTGCAAGGAACCTTGTTGTTCGGTAGTTGAAATAAGGATCAAATTCATGGATGACACTCTCAAAGCGCAAAACAGAGAACAGACGTGTAGAGAATGCTGAAACAAAGAATATCAAACTCTTGGTTAGGCCAAATGAAACACATTTGGTGATTTCGATAAGGGCCTAAAAAAATACTTTTCCCAACAAGTTTTACTTGTAGGTTTCTATGAAAACACAATCAGAATCTAACTACAGATGAAAATGTCTGAATTACACTATTAACTCACATAGTACCATTGCAGATCCTAACACCAATAACTTGAGAAATGTGTCTTGTTTTTCATAAGACATTCTAATCCCCAGCCAGGAGGGCCCAGCAGAGCCTGGTAAAGTTGGTGACTTCATTATCAACCTAAAATTTGAAAACATATAGTAAGATATATACATGTATATTGAATTAATATTACATGTCGAATATTAAACCTGTTTGCCTATTGGGACAACTAAGAAAATAAACTTCATACATGTAGTTCATTGTAGTATTATCAAACGTACAGTCTCTACATTTTTAACATGTTAATTAAAGAGCAGAAAATCAAGATGACTTTGTTGTCAACAATTATTCAGGTGTATTTTGGAAAAAATAGTGTTCATAGTTTATTGTACAACTGCATTTCCATGTGTTGTAATGATACTAGATTGGGGCTTCACCACCGGTTATCATACATGGCTGAGAAAGTTTGTAATTCTAATTTTTTCTCTAAAACTTAAGGCAGTAAGACACATTTATTATCAGCAATAATATGAGAATACCACAAAGTTTGCATGAAGGCAGCATTATGATCATATTGAAATAGTGTATTAGAAGTCAATGCAATCCCACATGGCCTGAATGCATAATTTGCGGGATCTCGTGACAACTTTATAGTTATCACAGTCCCTCTGGGACATCTTTTTGTGTGTGTGTCGTAATAATTTAGCCAGATGTAACAATGCAAAATGCCAGCCAAATGTATTTGTTCAAGCACCATCACCCTGCCTTGCCACTACACATCCTCAATTTCAATTGTATACTGTGGAATACTTTATTTTCGTGGTAAGGAAATTAGCATGAAAATAAAAACACCACAAAGTGTTTACATCTCATGAATAATTAATGAGGCCAACTTGCTGCCATATTGGATCATAGTGAATAACATGCTAAGTTACTACACACACTCTAAAACAATAAACAAGTTATTAAATGACGAAATTAAGTTTTATTTTCTTTACATAAATATTTATACATACAAATACCAGTACAGTAAAAAAAATTGGCAATATTAATTCACAATTTCAAAATATCATTCAGTTCCGATGTAGGCCAAATATTCATGGCCAATACTAGTATTGTGTAAATCCACAGCCAAGCAGAGTGCGCTGATTTTTGAAGTAGGACAATTACTTTCTCTGAATAATGGAATCTTCATTACTCCAGTGAGAAGTGGAAAATTTACTTGGCTGACTTCCTCGTTCTCCAAACGAACACTGGCCTGATCGCAATTAACGATCAACTCATTCAAATATTCTGTTCAGACACGACATTCTTAAATCGTTAGAGGAATGCAAATGTGATATCAAAATCGCTTGGAAGTTTTTTTTACTTCTTTCGTGCCTTTTCTCTTTACAAAATTCATCTGCTTCAGAAGCGACTTCGCCCAGGATTTACTAATGTTTACTGTTCTATGGACTCATTGCACTAATCCTTGTGTTGCAGCCATAACAATTCCTTTATCACCCCACCACTTACACGACTCCACTGCTGCACCTTGATATCAAGCTTATGGCTGATGAGAAGTGGCTGACCATGTTGACCCTTTGGTAAAGCTGTAACAAATGAATCTTGTTTTTGTTTTCACATGCTTCTGATGCTACTCTCAGAAACATTTTTTTCCCCCCAAGATCTTTGCTAAACTTACAAGAGTCGATCGTCCAGTTTTTGCCCACATTTCATCAGAATAAAAATTGTAGTCACCACGTTTTCGTTTGCAGGACACAGAAACAATTCCTTCATAGCGGTGTTAGCAGCTTTGATGGATTTCGCCTCGACAAGAATACTTCACGTGGGCCAGGTTTACCTAGGCCAGAGGATGTCAGTAGATTAACTTGCTTCAGCCAATTCGTTATCAGAGACAAGGAGTATACAGTTCTTGAATGTAAATTAAACTGACAAACTTGATGAACATCACTGGTTTTTAAAGGTAAAAACCTTTGTTCTTAATGTGTTCTATTTTCAAAACTAGTTAAATGTCGAACATTCAGGCATAAGCCACATTAGGTAGCTTCTGCTTTCACTAATCAAAATCTGGAGCAGTTCCTGCCTAGCTGGGCAAGTGAAAGCTTGAAATTCCGAAAATAAAATACTGTGGAAATAAAATATTCCACAGTAGTAGTGGTTTACTTATAATTATTTGGAGGGGCATTATGAATTACATTGGGGGGGGGGGCTGGAGTTAGGGTTCAGGTTAAGGGGCAGTCACATGCTACCCTCCAAGAGAAACAAACAAGTGTTCTGATGAGATGTAAACGTGATGTACGTTTTCAAATACGGAAGACGTTTGATCACTACTATCGACTACTACTATGTTATAAAAACACTTTTTAACAGACTTTCACAATAAAAAAAAATTATTGCAATTATTACCATGCAATTTACAATCTCCATGGCTTCCCTAACTACATGCACTATTTTAGCGGCAGTGACCGATTTTCTGTTAAGTAGCAATTATAATATCAAGCAAGAGAAACAATCACGATAAAGGCGTCAACGTGTGCAATATGGATAGAAATGTACACGTTGACGATGGCAGACGCTAGGTCTACTGCAAGTATGGGAATTATTCAGTAAGCTTTGTAAACTTTCGATAAAGTACATTTCTTACTTTCCCTGTGTTAATTTTGAGCGGGCAAAACGATAATCTCACCTCGGACGATGCTTGGAGCCAACAAAATTCGACTTTTTAAAGCATGTGCAACAACACTGACCGTACCCAACTAACGTCGATCAGCTGAAAGGACCGAGAATTACCGAGAAGACCCGACTTTGTTTTTGGTTGCTGATTGGACAGCGATATTTTCCGACAATGTACGAAAGTATTTTTTCACATGGAGAAAGTGCATGTATACATGAAGTCTATGTTATATATATATATAAAGCTGCATCAATAATCGTGTCTTAGAAAACACGTATCTAGCGAATAGTTTGCAGAATTAAACAAGTGCAAATAACGCGCATGGATGTCGCCACGTTGCAGATTCTCGGACGGTAGCTAGGCGTATGCCACCGAGTCTGTGATTGGTAGTTGTCAAAATAAAAGGCTGTTTCTCATTGGTGCACACGCTGTGGACAGAGGTACTTATTTATGATCTAAAAGTGCAGCCAGCGAGTGGATGTGATGATATCTAAGTGAAAGATAAAAAACACAGAAAATTTGTCTTGATCAAGAATACTGACGAACACTGTTGACACAGACTGTGAGTATTAATATTTGATCTAATGTATTTGAAATATGAACGTTATTCTGTTGATAATTTCGTTAAAAATCACCCGATATGGAGCGTAATCGCTGGGTGTTATAATTTACCGGAAGCTGAGAAACAGTGCCGTGTTCAGCTAATAAAGTAGCTAGAATTTCGTAGGTAATGCACCAGGTGATGTCCATGACATCTGTATCGACTTATAGTATCCAACAATCACAGCTTATGTTATTGTCGTGCGCGTACTTATACGACCGTTAGACTGAGCTAAAAAAAATATCAACAACATTGTCGTCGTGGATCGATCACGATCAGTACAGTCTGCATCACAATGGATGTTTTAACATTAGATCCCCATAAATAGATTTAGATACGTAAAGAAAGACACTCGCGTTGACAGCTTCTGTTATTCTGTAAAAAACGGAAATTAATTATTGTAGAACATGTTTGATAAATATTGAACATGAGTGACAATATAATGTTATTCTAAATTTGAACGTTACACATAGTGGGGGGATGAATTATTGATGAAACATTTATCCTACAGCTGTCTGTACGATCCCTTTGATACTTATCTATAAAATTAATCACAAATAATTTAAAAAAAATCAGTTAGATCTAAAAATATTTTGTATGTGTTTTGGCTCATGTACATGCAACTTTTATACCACACACATATTTTTATATAGATATTTTTATTTTTAAAATTTATTGCTGCCATCTTTTCTTATCTGTCATCAAAACAATATACAATTTGTTATTTTTATATTTTTTATGTTTTTCCTAGGAAATTGTACAGGGTGCCTTATTATTAGAGATGCATGATATATATTTAATTTATGAAATACAAATATATATATACAAATTTTAATTTTCTGAATTTTCTACAAATATCATTGATACATTACATGACCGACCACTCAGTGATTTGATAGACAAATTGTCTTATTTATGTTTCTGTCATTGAAAAAAAAATCTACTTGTAATAATATTTATAATAACATAGTTAAATTTGCTTCATGATATTGAAATCTAGAAGATCAAAATAAGAAAACATAATTATGTACAATAATATGAAGTGAATTTACATCTGTATTTGTATACTAATGTCATACTGTATTTATTCCAATTACAATTTATGGGTTTTATGTGACTACACTAACTGGACCCAATAACGTTTGATCTGATGAACTGAGCCTATGTAGTCAGCATGTTTTCTATGAGATGCAGGCAATTGTATCTTGTCAACCAAAATGGCTGTCAATTTGAATATTTTCCATGGTAACATCACACTGTGTAACACAGCAAATGCTACTTCAGTTGCAATGCATGTAGCTAAAAAAGCTTACTTGTATACCCATGAGAATTTACAACTTATTCCTACATATACTAATTATTTCCTGCTTATTCTACTCTGTGATAAATGGAACACTTTTTAGTTGATCAGCCTCTTAACGTGAAAGGTCAAACAAATATTATACCACTTAATTCAGCAGTTTCTTTGCAAAATACAGATTTTGTATGGTTCTCGTAATAAGGATTTTTTCCCATTCTCAAAAAACATGGTGGGTGTCGCCATCACCAATGGTAAATTAGTACAAGTGAAAATTTATTGAATTGAGCATAACAAATGATAAATTGATAAAATTATCACATTTGTTGCTGAATTTTTTTGAGTATTGTCATTAATTTTTGACTGGGTTGTAATTTCACTATTTTCACTGATCTGTGAAATTTGCTAAATTAAATGCTTGTGAACATGTACAATAATTATGTAATTATTTTTTTTTCTCTGCCACATTCATGACAACATTTTAATAAATTTTAATTTTTTACTCAAAAAATTGGCTATTAAAACCCAGTGAAAAGGCTCAAACATCAAAACATGAAAATAAATGATTTTACAGTACTTTGAAAACACAAAACATAGATAAGGATGTGTAAAATTCGAATAATTCTGACTTTGAGAAAATACATTCACTTTAGATTTAATTAAGTTTGCAGCCAAATTCAATTTCTTATTAACTATTAGGAGGCTCTACTCTGTCACTTAATTAAAAACAATCAGCTAAATGTCTCGTTATCTATGCATATTGAAATACATGTACGATCATAAAAAAACTGTTGTTACCAAGTAGTGAGTTGGATAAGACTGGCACAGATGTGTATTACATAACGTAACCAGTGTGATAAGATTCAATATCCAGTGAACTTTCATACACATTCTCAATCACTAACAATTAAGTATAACATCTTCTATTTCTATGGTAACTCGCACATCATTGACGTACATGGACAAATTAGGCAGTGGCGTTTTGTAGTTGGCTGTGTGTTGTCATAGCAATATGCGTATTTGTAATTTAATGGCATTTCCAATCGCATAAGAGAATTAAGAATAGGTTGTACGGTAACTTGTGCAGGGTATACGAATTATTGAATTTCATTTCATTTTAAATTAATCATTTTAGATTTAAATATATTCAAATCCAGCCTCCTATTTGAATGAGATTAAAAAGAAATTAATTTGCACCCTTGCATATATGTTAATTTTTCTATGCAAAGTATTTTTTTAAGCACTTGTGAAATCCTGATTCAAATGAAAGGCTGAGTAATGCTGAACATATGGCGTAGTAATAGTCATTTATTTAGTGACATTCACAGATTTGAAGTATTGATAATCAGAATTTGTGAAATTGCCGATTCTACATTGACCTACATTGGTGTTTTGGGGATAAAATTACATTTGACATACTAAAAATATAAGATTAAAAATAAGGATCATGCAGTTATGCTGTATCCAATGAGTCGGAAATAATTACCTGAGTTGTGACTGGTCCGATGCAGATTTGCTTTACCACGCACGGTATTAAATGCTGCATAAATTATTTAGATCACAAGCAATATTGACAGTACATTTCTGTAAGATGAGTGGTGTGCCCTTTCGAGAACCCTTTCAAAGGTGTATTCGGTATGTAATTTATTATAAATATAGATACAGTTCCAATCATCATTTTTTAAAAGAAATTGCTAATCAAACAGAAAACTGATTTGATACATTCTGTGTATTTTGTCAAATATAAGTAACGATGGTGTTTTTGTGATTCTCTTGTGTCTGTATATGTATGCCATTATTCAATGAAAATGTCCTTCAAACAGCTACATTTAGCTTAGGGAAATGTTTCATGTGTTTCTTAATTAGTGGTTTATATTGTACTGGATTCTGCCGTAAATTCGCCCATCCGAAAAATAGCTTGGGCAGTTTCACTGCAGGTGGGCCCTTATTTGGGGTTCAAATTATCAAAAAAATTATCATCAATTATTTTTAGGGGGCATATATTTTCATTGAAAAATCCACCTACGCCGATTTTCAACCCCGGCAGTTGGACCACCCAAAACGAAACAAACTACATTTGTATTGCAGAAGCTAATCTAAGTTAAATTTGTATACTTTTCTTTTCTTGCTGGATCAAAAAGTAGACAGCGCATTTTTCTCCAAAAAAATCACATTAACGAACCTTGTGCGCCAAATACAATTGTTTTTGTTTTTTTCATTTTATTAGTAACGAAAATATATTCTAAATAAAAGAAGTTTCAAATAACAACGAATGCAACTGCATTGCTTAATAGCAAATGATCGTGGTAGCGCAATCCGGTCATGCTGCATTTTACAATTGTTGATTACTACCTAGTAATGATTATAATAACGTGCAAAAAGAATTGTTATAAAATGCAAATAAATTTCAACTTATTTCATCGTAAGGGAATGATTCCGATCACATTGTCAACGCTCGATGCTGAATATCCGCCATGTTTGACCTGACAGGTCAAATCGATAATTAACCAATGAAAATGATGGATGATGCCAACGTGTTCAAATTACCATAGAACATTTAAATATGTTGATATTATTGAACTCAGCGTGGAATAGATTTGCCGATGTTGTTGTACGATCTTTTGGCCTGGATTTCGATTGGAAAGTGGCATGATTTGATTTTGAATAAAAAAATTAGTTGTTTTCAAAAGATAAACTGAGCATTTGAAGAATAATTTAACATTATTTACAGCGATAACAGCTCATTGTCGAAATAAAGCTTACCCATTCACGGTAGTCGTAATGAACATCAATACTCTTGAATAGGCGAATTTACGGCAGAATCCGTGAAAGTACGTCCGCAGGATACACCGCATCACTCGTAAAAATAACTTCCATACGCAATGAAAGCCACGGGAAGGGTGTGGGGTTTTTGTAAAGAAAATATGTGTTTGAACAGTCTGGGGGCACTGTGTGTGGCTTCAGTATGCACAAAGACAGTATAGCCATGTGTAAACATGGTCGATGTGACCGTGTACTGTCTGAATGTTATTACATGTGTTGTGCTGATACATCCACTCAGTGTAGGATACTTATGAGTGAGCAAAATGGTAAAAATTATTGGAACTTTCTCACTATGAGGATGTTCGAGCTAGATTGAAGATTGTGATGTTCATCATGCTTTCATTTTATGGGTTCATCCTATCAGGATACCAAAAAAAAAATTGGGTTTACTGGACAATTTTGTTCAACTTACAAAATGTCATGAAAAATTGTTGAATCTGCCATTCTGGCATAATGAGATTATTTATTTCATATCTCAAAATTTTCCTTGCTGACATGGAATGAAAAATTAATATTATTATTTACATAAAATTTGTTGAGTTTCCAGAGTGATAATAAATGTAGCTTTTCATTACCGGTATATACAATGGGAGGCTATCTCCCATAATGCACTGCGTATATGTGCAGTATAAGGGATAACATACTAGATGTAATGTGAATTTTGAATTTAGCTCGAACTGTCTTGACAAATGTTTGTCGTCTTGGAAATACTATGTAATCATTCAATATTTGGAATGATTAGATACAGATGCACTGTGCAATACTGCAAAATGTTGACATTCTGTCCAAGGTTCTCCTGGGTTCTCCCCAGGGCATCATAGAGTTTGGGTTTCCAAACTGTAAAATTGTGGATAAACAAAGAATACAATAGAAGCATTTACATATTCTATTGTTATGCAAATTGGCTGATACTGTATGCAATTTTTGGGGGACACTGCTGTCAGAGACAGATATGTATAATAAT